AGATAAAAGGATGGTACCCAGGTCTCATGATGGGATCAGCTTCCAGGTAGGAGGTCAATCATTAAACATACCACGTATCAGGTGAGATTTGGATGTATTTGATGAAGCTGTTGTGCCATCATGGAAACCTTGAAGGATACCAATGGCTGATCTGAAGCCCTTAATTGTAGAGACTTGAAGGCCGGAATTGAAAAGGTGAAGAAAGAAATCCCCAATCAAGGTTACAGATGCAGAACGGGAATTGACAACTCTCTCCTCTCGCCATTTGGTGACGTGGAGAAGTCTACTATCATACGTTCTTCTGGTGGATCTTCGTCTGCTTTTGGCTGCCAGGGATGTAGCTTCCCTCGAAAGGCCAGCCGATTGGAAGGAGACTTTGAGAGCATCCAGGCACAAAGATGGAGGGTTGATGGATCGGGATGTAGAATGTGAGACCTTGGCTGTGACTGAAGGTCTGGCCTATTGGGAAGTATGAGAGGCAAGGGAACCAGGACATCCAGACATGGGAACCATGGCTGTCGTGGCCAAAATGGGGCTATGACGACTACCCTGGATAGCTCAGTTTTTATCTTTGTCAGGACCCGTTGTAAGAAAGAGATTGAAGGGAAGGCATATTCATGGATTCCTGTCCAGTCAAACCTGAGGGCATCTACCTTCCACGCCATAGGATGAGCATGACGTGTGCAAAAGGTTGGAAGGTGGTTGTTCAGATGGGATGCAAACAGGTCCACGTGTGGTGTTCCGAGTATGTTGAAGATGTGTCTGGGTACAGGAGGATGGAGAGACCATTCTTTTGGAGAGACGTGACTCCTGGAAAGAGGGTCTGCAAGGAGATTCTTCTTCCCTGCCACATAGGTGGCTTGAAGAGAGATTTGGCATGGAATGCACCAACTGGCTCCCAAGTGGCAAGGCAGACAGACGGGGAGTGAGTTCCCCTCCTGATGGTTGATGTATGACACTACAGTAGAGTTGTCCAACTTGAACAGAACCAATTTGTTTAGGACTCTGGACTCGAGGGAAAGTAGAGTTTTGTACACTGCAAGGAGCTCTAAGTGATTGATGTGAAGTAAACTCTCTTCAATCAACCAAGTGCTGGCCCGTGATAGATTGTCTAGGTGTGCTCCCCAACCAAGTCTTGATGCATCCGTTGTAAGGGTAGCTGAAGGAGAGGGGCAAGGGAAGATCACTCCACATTTAAGATTGTTCACCAAAGTAGTCTGAGCATTACCCGTTATCCACGGAGCCAAGTCTCTTGTATAATGTCTGATATGGCTATTAACATGCAGACATATGCAAGCCATGCGCAAACCAATCGGTGTCCACTTTACTAAATTGTGACCTCATTTCATTCCCAAATCAGGACTAATATGGTTTGATTGGTCAATTCGAATGCAGTGTTTTGTTATACAACAACAGCTGCACCCGTACGTGTCGCGTAACAAAATAGCGTTTGACCAAAGCCTTTGTTGCTATGTCTAGCTTTTTTTTGTATCCATGTCTAGATGCGACAAAGGTTGATGACCAATGACGTAACATAGAAAGTGCCAGCTGATTAGTCAAAATCTAGAGGCCAATGTGCGGTTGGCTTTCGCCATGGTCTATTATATAGACTACCACCAAAGGAGTTTGTCTAGAATTAGCTGAGTTACTGGAATCATCTTCAAGGACGAAAGTGGTTCAGAAGATGGAGCTGTATGGGATGCATGTGCATCCTGCTCCAAGGGACCAAATCCACCAGACTTGCCATGAGGCCCATGAGCCAAGCTTTGGATGGGTGTATTGGAGAGGACCTGAAAATCTTGATGCAATCCCGAAGTGTCTGACATTTTTCCCCAGCGGCATCGCTCTGCCTGTTGTCATGTTTAGAACTGCTTCAAGATAGGTTGGTTGTGTCTGAATCAGAGAGGACTTCACAACATTGATGATGAAGCCCAGATTGAGGGTAAGCTGAACGGTCTGTCTGAGGGCATTTACCGTGTCTTGAAATAGGGGACCCACTATGAGCCAATCGTCCAGACACGTCCAATGGTCGTCAAAGGGGTTGTAGAGGAGGATTGCTGGTGAATTCCAGACGGTACCCTGTACAGATGGTTTGAAGAACCAAGATGTCTGAAAGGGAGAGACTGTCCTCATCTACTGTCTGGCCAGAAGAAAGAGAAGACATTGAAGATGATCTAGAATGTGTGTGTCGACTGCGATGACCAGGTACTGACCATAAGTAATCACAAGAAGAACGATGTCGGTACTGGTGTCGATCCTCGGAGTCCGAGTGGGACCGCGCATGGGACTGAGAACGGGCCTGTGTATCGCGCTGCGGTCCTCCAGCAAGTGGAGCGGCTGGTGTGTTCACCGAAGCATTGCAGGGAATGGAGACTTTGTCCTTGAGTGAAAGGTTTCCATGATCCCTCGAAGAATGCGGAAACTCCCCTCATACGGTGTGTAATGGTGTGAAAAACCCATTGGAAAAGCCGGAGGGAAAACCCGCGGGTTGTGGGCTGGAACACTGTGTGGATACGATGCGTGTGTATTGTGGTCGAACTGATGACAATCGTTCGGGAAAAAGGACCACGTGTGGGGCTCAGAACGATTGAGAAAATCTCGATGAGACATGCCCGGAAAGCAAGGTTGTGAGTACAAACCCGTAGAAGTAGGACCATAGCTGAATGATGATGGTGCCGGTGGTGTGCCGGTGGCGCCTTTAGCCTCTGTCACCTGACAGGGCTGGTCGGATTACTGAGGGACCTTTGGGTGTCGAACGCCGATTCCCGCCATCCGCCTGCACATGCGAGTCGACCTGTGATTCTGATGCATGCATGTGCTCCTGTAGACTGCCAAAAGTATGCAGGATTTGCTGGGGAGTGGCTGTAACTCTTGTTGGAGGAGTGCTCATCCCCGGAGAATTTCCTAACCCCAAACCCGGAGGATTGAACTCAGTCATAGCGGTGAAAGGTCACACTTGGATTGTTGACTGGAGGGTGATTGCCCGGCAGAATGGCTTGAGCTAACAGTTTTCTTTTTACTAGTCTTGGCAGAGTCGGCCATTTTTACAAGCACAAACAGTGCGGTTAAAAAAAAATAGGACAAGCTATTATGTTACAGGGTCCTTTGTGGACTTGCAGTTTGCACGGAGGGTACAGCTTGGGTGCTATTCTTTTCAGTGAGGTTTATACGCATGCGCGCTGATATTTAAATGTAAAACTGAGGTGAGGTGTTTCTGTAATGGAGTCAAGATGGGTCCACCTCTTAAAATGATTCTCAGACCATTGTCGCTCTGTTTGCTAAGACTCATACTCTTATCACCAGTTGGACATAATTTGGGCAATAATAATGGGCCTAAGCAGCTCCACTATTACACAGGATATATGCGTGTACATTTTTATAGGAAATCTTCAAATATATTGTAATCTTTAAATCACTCTTAACCAGTTTGCGCCGCAGGCTGTGTGTACACGTGAAAGTGATGCGAAATTCAGATCGGATGACGGATACACCTGTCACACGCACAGCCCGAACTATTAATTTACTATGCATGGATGACGAGTTAACCCGTCAGACACAATGGTTTAATTCAGCGGAGGATGTGTATACACACTGCAAATGTTTCCTTGGTTGTTGCTGTTGACGGTTAACACGTCTAAAGTTACTGGCCAGCGCCGCAGAGGACGTGTATACACGCCAACGTTGCTGGTGTACGCTGGGGTAAATGAGTATACACGCTGCTTTTGCCAAGCCATGCCATGTTAACTCGATATCATGCTTCAGTTATTATGCCCATGCCATGTGCAACAAGCCCTGATTTTCAAGATAGTTTGAAGGTACTGGATATATGCTCGAGATATTTATTCATGTTTTGAACTGGTCATGTTTATTTCAATCACAATTCTTTCTAGAATGTATGCCAATGGGGTATTTGATAAATCACATTGCCAAATTACATGAGTTTGGAAACAGCCTTTTTTGTGCAGAGCAGACGCCATAACTTGTGGCCGTGTTGTGCGTCACAATGGATGCGGCCAAGCTTGTATTGCTATTGACTGTTAGCATGCATTTTTTCAGTCACATTACATCAAATCATGGTGTCCACACGGTCGGAGACTTCCCGACTACTAAGTTACTTGGTTTCAGTTTTATTTCATTGCAAAAGATGCTCAATCTTAACCCTAAAAAGGATTGTAATTGATCTCTAGTAACTGTTTCCATTGCCATTTCTGTTGTCTGTGTATTTTTTAACTATACCATCATGAACTCCAATTCAACACCCTAGTTTCTTTGTCTGCATTTATGCATAAGCTGAGGGATTCTGCAGCCAGTAATTAGTCCTAGACATACTATCGTCGCTTAGTATCCTTTGAAATTCCTATCCAAGTTGGCGTGCAAACATTTCTATAGATCTTATTCCCTCACGCTATTATTCCCGGCCCTGTGTGTACTTTCACGGCTGACATCTAAAAACGCGTCAGAATTACGATAGCGGATACCGGATGATGTGATATCACGCCCCGACTAGTGTAGAGAAACAATGCCCTTGGCGACAGAATGTTCGCAAAAACATGTAAATGACAATGCTAATAAACTAAGTGTTGGTGTCTTGTAACAGTTGGATTATCAAAACAGGAACATTTTACAGAATAAAAAAAACAATTTTTTTTTAATGAAACAAAAAAAAAGCCTGGGTCCTGGTAATGGACAATCCCGGCACGAAGTAACTTTATCCGACTTTTGTCCATTGCTAAGTAGCATTTTTGGTATCAGAGGGTGAATCTAAACACTTTAATCCAAAAATGGCACTTGTGCGCTACATGTTAATTTAACTCAAAATTTTTGACATTTGAAATTGGTTCTCATGATCCCCATCCGACCCAGGGAAACTTATAAGAATGGCTATTTCAGAAATCCCCCCCCCCCCCCCCGATGGACAATGGCCTGGAACCATCAAACATTTTGTGGCCAAATTGCAAATTAAACTCAACTTAGCTCCCGGTTTCAAGTTACAAGACTACCTGCAGCTATCTGGCGTTGTTTGTCTGTCAGTCTATCCTGTAATACATCATGTAGCTGCTCTTGTATTTCAGGGCTCGGATCAATGTCCAAGACCTCTTGTCCCTGCTGTTGAGACTCTCTGATGCTTTGGCCTTTAGAAGGATCAAAGTACTGTTGGCGTGCTAATTCGTTACGTTTATACCCAGCCTTGCCAATGTAAGGACTCTCTTCGGTACCTCCCTCAGCCTGTCAAGAAAAAAATGTATTCTTTGAACCAAGTTGTCTAAATAACCAAATACATGAAATTTTGCACTTGAAGGGGCAAAGCAATTTTTTCCCAACCCACAAGCGATAGCTCATCTCTTTCATGCAATGATCAATGCAGGATTTTTTTACTCAGCCATGCGCATGCAAAAAATTCAACAAAATCTTATCAGTGAAACTTCAAGAAAATTTGTTGGACAGGGCGATGGGTACACCTGAAAAGCAGTTCTTAAATTTCTCCAAAGGATAATTCTTTACTGAGTTAGAATGTTGGTTGCAACAGTCTAGGACAAAAAAATAAGAGGCAATGGAGGCCAGATTTTGACTTATCTGATCAACACACATTCATAAAGTCAGTAAACTTTGTAATACCTAGATAACCTAGAAACCCATACAATAAAAGATCACCTCGTCAATATCAAGATGGAATGCAAGTGGCTCAAACTTTGCATCAATTTTTTGGAAGGCTAGTTCTTGCTCCAATCGAAACTGCTTCTCACAGGCCTTGTTCAACTCAGCTGTCTTGCGTTTCAACTGCAATTTAACACAATCACACATTAAAATGACAAATCACCACAATAAAAAGAACTACGTAAATAAAAGAGGACTTCAAAGGCTGTATTTCAAATTTGCTAATAATCAGCAAAGTAACAGGGAAGTGAAAAAAAAGAGTAAAATTTTGAACTAATTTGACCATATATTATGATGCCTACATGTTCGTCATATTGATTGAAACTAGAACAGCGAAGCCGCCATGGCTCGCTGTCCAAGGCAGGAAGGGAGGCTGAAGGTAGGGTTGGGGATGGGCATGATGGAAGGCGATCAGGATTCTTGTTGATGTGCCTAGGTGTAGGGGTCAGTTTTTAAATGTCAACATAAAACGTCAACAGATTACCTAATAAATACATGTGTATATAGGTTAGCCGTCACTGTATTATGGGGGAGTTTTCCATTGTTAGGGTAATTAGGACCCAGTTGTGGATTTTTGCAGCCTAACAGTGTCTTCTGCTCCCCATACTTGTATTACCATGGGAAAACTCTTGTGTAGTCGCCACAAATGCAGAACAAGAATGGGTATACATGTACATGTAGACACAGCACCATCACCACCTCCCCCAAACCTTACCCCATCCCAAAACCTTACCCCATCCCCAACCCGCCCCTCCCCCACCCAACCCCCTACCCACACCCATTCCATCCTCCCCTAACCATTCCCACCCCATCACCTACACATCCCAACCCCACCCAAACTCCAATCCCTATCTCCTTCCCCCTCCCCTAACCCCTATCCTCCCCTACCCCAACCCCCTACACCCACCTACCCTATCTGTCCTTACCCAACCTACACATCCCCACCCTAACCCTTACTCGAATTCCAATATCCCGCCCACCCCATTCCCCCACCCATACATCCCCACCTGACCCCATGCAACCCCTACTCTGATCCCTATATACTGCCCCCTCCCCTTATCCAACCCCTACAACAACCCATCCCTACCCATCCCAACACATCCCCAACCCAACCCCTACTCCGATCCTATATCCCGCCCCCTGCCCAACCCCCTCCTAACCCAACCCCCTCCTAACCCAACCCCTACATCCATGCCCATCCTCTCCCTACCTGTCTCCCCCTACCTGTCTCTCCCTACCTGTTCTCACCCCACCCCTACAAATCCCCACCCCACCCAAACCCAGTATTCCAACCCCTCTCCCCACCCCAACCCACCCCGCCCCACCCATCCGAGCTCCCCTACTCATCCTACTCACACAAACCCTAACTCCAACCCTATCCCCCAACCCACCCCACCCCACCCTCCCCCACCCCATCCCTAATCCAACCCCATAAACTAAAAGATCAAACCAGAAGCTCATGCACATCCCCAAAATGCATAATGTACATGCATACCAGTATACATGTACATGTAACAATTAAAAACTTTAACATTTCCTTGAATTAAAGTTCCTCAATAAAATCATAAAATTTACTGCAATGATATGAACCTAACTGAAGTTATAGAGATGATACATGACAACTACATTTAATTTTTTTCCCCAAGTTAACTAGAACCAAAAACTTCAACATTTTTATCTGAATGCGGACGGCCGGGCGGCCGGGCGGACGGACGGACGCCCGGACAGACGGACAGAAATTGGTATTACATAGGCTCGCATCTGCTTCGCAGCTCGCCAAAAATGATTGGTTTGATGACGTCACAGCATTTGGACTCCCAAGATTAACATTAAACCGGATATTATTGTCTGTGATACGAACATAGTCATTAAACACTGATCAAAACGAAGGATTAAAAAAGAATACTGATCATTTTAAATTTCTCTCCATAACTTCCGGTCTGATGACGTCACGATTCTAAAATGTGCGGTTGTTCAAAGGATATCTAGGGCAATTTGGTAAAATTATGACGAAAAGGTATAAATTTAAACAATTAAATGTCATTGATGCGCCACTAGAGGGCGACCTTAAAGACGATTTTTTCCCCACTTTTCTCCAAACCAGGGGGGGGGGGGTGGTGGTATTTACCCACCCCAATATTTTCAGAGTGCCCTTTTTTTTACTTACGAAATAAAAGAAGATTGATCAGCGTAATGTCATTTATAAGTAAGGTCGTATCATAATTACTCGGAACTATGGCAATAATGTATAATAAATATATTATACATAAGATGGAATTTTGCGTCGGGGTGATGATCAAATTAGGTTTTTGCCCTAGTTAACGCGGTACCCGCTGCTATGTACATCAGATTCGAACCAGCCAACCGATCCCATTTGCTCGGTGGTCGAGTGGTAAGACGTCTGCACTAGAAAGCAGGAGGTCGTGGGTTTGAGTCCCACCCGAGTGATTTTTTTCAACTTTCACTTGGGAGGTAACACACTGAGTATACAGTGTTTATACATCGTGAAGGGCAAAAACCTAATTTGAAATATATTATAATCGTTGCATGACATGATTCGAACAAGGCCTCATAAAAAAACACGCCCTCTATCGGGCACGTATAAAGCAAGTAGGTCAGGTCACTTTTCTTTGCTGCGAAGTTTAAATACAGATAGGTATGCACATGTACATACTCAATTACGTATTAGCAGGCATACGTAATACGTCATTACTGGGTTGAAATAATGCCCCAAAAGCGAAAGCGAAAGCGAAAGCGGGATGAGGAGCTGAAACTGTAAGCCACCAAGTGCTGGAATCTCGGGACATTTTTTAAGTAAGTAATTTAAAGAATAAAAAAATATATATCCTCTATGGATGCATACCTGCAAATAAACTCCCATAGACACTAGTGCTAAATGCCCATACTTAAAAATTCTTTTAAAAATACTCAAAACTCTCACAGGTATTCAAGCTGCACAGAAAAATGATAATCAACATGTCATCTTTCGTTTTCTTTTCAATTTTTGGTGGGTTGACCATTGACTTTTCGAGATATTTTCACCCAAAGAAGACGACCCCTATTTTCCCCAAAGCGGAAAAGTAGCCATCTTGAAAAACGATCCCTCCACAACACGGCAAAATAGCGCCACTTTCGAGCCCAATAGCATCCAAAATGCTCAGAATTGGAAGCCCCAAGTCCGGGCCAGAGGTTCATTACCATATCTCTTCAATTCCCCAATTTTACGGCACTCAGAACTCTCTAATATAGAATATTTTGAGGGTATAACTTTTATTCATGAGCTTGGCGGATCGATTTACCGGTGTGCACCCCTATAGCTTTAATAATATAATGTCATTCATGCTGGTGGCCTTAGTGCAGAGTTGTAACCAAGTTATTTTTTTCCAAGTCAAGTCAAGTCCCAAGTCAAATTTAAGCAAGTCAAGTCAAGTCAAGTCCCAAGTCAATATTTTTCAAGTCAAGTCAAGTCTCGAGTCATTTAAAAAAAAAATATATATATGAGATGCACATACTACATAGTACGTACAGGAACCAGTTTATGTGTTCGACGACAGAGCTGGAGTAGAGATGGGAATGTGTTTATAAAAGCGTGCATCATGAAAGGAAATTAAAAAAAAATATCATGTATATCTGCATTCTTTTCAACCGCACAATGCCCAGAGCTTTTTTTTTTTTTTTTTACTTTAAGAAACGTGTTAATGTCAGCAAGACAAACTTATTCGAGTCAAGTCAAGTCACAAGTCATACTTTTTCAAGTCTCAAGTCATTTTTCCCCAAGTCAAGTCAAGTCTCAAGTAAAAAAAATAGCGACTCGAGTCCAAGTCAGCAACTCGAGTCAACAACACTGCCTAAGGGCCCTGTCACACTTCTGCGTATCCTAATTCCTTATGAGTTGCGCATTGACATTTTTTTCATACACAGTCGTACGCACAATACGCACCTCATATGCATCTGTATCGTTTTGTGTAGGTTTTATGTACGCAGATATACGCATGGTACGGCCCAGTACGCAGGATAGTTTTGGGCATGCACAAAACTACGCTGCGTACACTGTTGCGCAGGTCATAAGTAATAAATACGCAGCGCATCGGTCGAGTGCAGTACGAGTCCGCTATGTGTTCGTGACGCACCCCGTCAGCATATGAGCTGCCTGTATTGGACGTATACATAGCGTACTTGCAGCGCAGATGCAACGCACGCTGAACGGCGAGCGGCGGAAATGCGGCGGGAATATGCTCAGAAGTGCGTCAAGCATGCGGTCGGCATAAGTCGGGTGCGTCCGGAATACGCTCGGCATGTGCACTGCATACTGACCTATTCGCAGCCCGAAAAATAATGTTGTGCACTGCATACGCAACTCATACGCATCTCATACGCAATGGATGCGCTTAATTCGTTACTTGTACGGTAGATGTGCGTCGCACATAAGTCAAAGTGATCAAAACATTTCGACGTTAATTGAGCGTACGGCTGCGTATTGAAAATTTTTGATAAGGAACTCATAAGGAATTAGGATACGCAAAGGTATTACAGGGGCTTTAGTGTGCCCTCACTGGAAATTGTAGTGCCCCCTGTGCCCCTACTGAACTATGTTTGTGCCCCCTGTGCCCTAATGTAAGTGCCCCCAGTTCCCTAACTAAAAAATATAAGTGCCTTCACTGGAAATATTAGTGCCCCCTGTTCCCTCACTGAAAAATGTTGGTTCCCCCTGAAAACTTTGAGTGCCTCCTGTGCCCCCATTGAATAATATAAGTGCCCCTGTGTCCCTACTGAACTATGTTTGTTCCCCCTGTGCCCTAATGTTAGTGCCTCCAATGCCCCCACTGAAAAATATTAGTGCCCTCACTGGAAATATTACTGGCCGGCCCCTGTGCCCCCATTGAAAAATATTTGTGCCCCCTGTGCACTCACTGAAAAATGTTGGTGCCCTCTGAAAACTTTAAGTGCCCCCTGTGCCCCAACTGATTTATGTTTGTGCCCCCTGTGCCCTGTTAGTTCCCTAACTGAAAAATATTAGTGCCCCCCCCCCCCCCCCCCCCCCCCCCCCCCCCGTGCTGTGCCCTCACTAAAAAATGTTGGTGCCCCCTGAAAACTTTTAGTGCCCCCATTGAAAAATATAAGTGCCCCTACGGAACTATTTTAGAGTACATAGCTGGTCATTCCAAGCTGTAAAAACAATATGGATATAAATTATATGCTGCTTCAAATCCAATGTTTGGAGAGGGCTGAATTCAAGCAATCATTGTTCAAAATAATAAAAATAGAGTTGCTAAAAAGTACATGAATTGTTTGTTTTGTAACAGAAATATTAAGTTTCTTTTGTGCAATGTAATGTTAATGAAATAATTTCTTTTAGTGTGCTCGACATGTAAATATCAGATTATGCTTTGTTTATCGATTTTGAGAAAAATTGTTGCAGCAGGGAGTGTTTTGTGTTGGTTTAATTTTGTGGTAATTTTCTCTACCCGAACTACACGGCCTAAGATGTATGAAAGTGCTAGGCCTTCAGAAGATGCAATTATTTAAAAAGTCACTCCCGAATCTCGGGCATATAATTTGATGAGTCAGGATCAAGGTTGGTGTTAACATGCACTCTCCGAAAATTTCAAACTTCTTTCCTGATGGAACCCTGTATGTAAAGAATATAATGCCCTGTAACAAATAAATTTGCATGTTTGCATTGGCAGGCCGTACAACAGTTTTAAAAAGTGGTTTTTTTTTTCATAGCACGCTCCAGTTCAAAAGTTTTGAGCGAAACATTATAAATATTCATATCTAGTGACATACGGGGTACCATATATTGGTGTATGCTAATCACACATTTTGTACTAGCCTGTGTCATGGACAGATCCTTGCGCGATAATCATGACTGGTCTTGGACATGCGGGTGACTGGCACAATGATGGGCCTTTGTTGGTAACCGCAGTGCGCAATTAACGCCTCGCTGGCTTGTACAATAAAAGGGTGTCAGTGGCGTAGCCAGGAATTTTTCAGTGGGGGGGGGGGGGGGGGGGGGGGGGGCGCTGGGGGATGGAACATTTCCTGGGGGGCGTCATGTACATCAATGATAATTTTTTTAGAAACTCAAAATCTCAGGGGGGGGGGGGCGACAAGGTTTCATGGGGGGGCTGTCGCCCCCACGTGGCTACGCCACTGAAGGGTGTACAAAACCTATGCATTAAAAGTGGAAGAGGGGACAAAAAGGGAGAGGGGAAAATCTTAACGAAAACAAAAGCTATTCCCAACTGTATCCGGAGACAGCTAACAAGATTACGACAACTCTGGTAACCTTAAAATGTCTGTCTTAGGTGGAATAAATGTTTTGTCCATGAATATGGAAATTCGTATGTGCAAAAAAAGCAAAAACGCAACACCATAAGAGTAATATACTGAAAACAAAGTTTAACTGCACTTAAGGGCAAATTTCAAGGATTTTATTGCATGGACCCTTTTAAACTTTTAACAAAACTATTTCAGTGCCTTACCAGGTCATCTTTAGCATGCACTTCCCCATGTAGCTGAATGATGGTTTGTTGATGTGCTAGATTCTTAGTCTTGAGCAATGCAATGAGATTCATAGACTGCTGCTGATCCATCAGCGTCTTGCTGTGGTTCTCCTGGAGAGATCGCAATTTCTTCTCTTCATTGTTGAGTTGCACTTCTAGGTTCTCTAATTCCTCTGGTAAAAGCATACATGTACACAGTGAATTAAAAATACTAACTAGAGGTTCGCGTTTGTTGAGTTACAAACACAGAGTGGTCAGGCTCGTATCTATTTATTTCATAGTACAACCTAGCCAAAGACTAACATCGTTGAAAGCAAGTTCACATCTTTTTCCATTTTCAAATTATAAGGCACTTCCAGTTTGGACCGGAAGGAAGGGTCACATGACTTCAAAATGAAGACAATTCCCCCAAAAAGCAAAATCAGATCTCTCAAAGTTGATTTTATAGTGATTTTCAAAGATGGAGGGAGGGAAAGATGCAGGGGGAACAAGGAGAGTGGTGATGAATGTAACAGGGTAAAGAAGAAGAAAGGGGAGGGCAAGGGCAGTGTTGTCAGTATAAAGAGAAAGGGATGGGGAAAAAACAAAGGATGGGTAAAAACCACAGAGGTTAAGATGGAGCTGAAACAAATTAAACTTGGAGAGATAGAAACATTAATCGTGGCCTTGTTGGATGTTGAGACCATGTGGTTCAACAGTCCGAAGACGCTTCATCCACACTTTCTCCCTGCTTAGACGAACTGAGTCCTTGCAACAGCCAAGGGACTCTATACCCTGTAATGTCATATAGGAAATTGAATGGTTAGGGAGGTTGAGGTGGTGGTCGACAGGGGTGACCAGTCTCTTGGTGTTGACAGTTTATCGATGACCAAAGAAGGGTCATTCTTCGTTAAGTGTCTACGTTCATGTCCCAATACTTAGACAATGGAAAATGCGTAAACATGATATGTATTTTTGTGGATTTGTGTTAATAAACACAATTCTGATTCTGAGTTTATATTGTTCTTTATTTTCTGATGTTTGATGTGGACCCCCGAAAAACCCATGTCCCGATCGTACTATCTAAAAATTCCGATCGTTATATTTATTTGGTGGAGGGGCTTTTCTTCAAGAAATTACTCTTAAACAAAAGGCCTTTATCACTTAAATCTATTCAATGCTTCAAAATATGGCATTATAAACCAATTAAGTCATAAATTTTATCGTTTTTGTCGAAAAATGTTTTTCTTGAGGATTTCAGTCAGATACCGTCACGAACGTATGCAGCGCCCGCAATAGTTCATAAAAAACGAATAGAAACACTACCTCGGTCTCTGTACACGCGTGAGATACGACAGTGCATTGTGTTCAAATTTTCTCCACGTATCGTGAATAAAAAAACACATAAAAATCGTGACTTTTAGCTAAAATACTGGTGCGTACCTTTATTCAGCGTCATCTACGAATGCTTTAAAACAAGCTTTATTTATATTTTTATTCTAAAAAAGTATTCATGAGTACGATCAGAATTGTGTAAACTTCCAAGGGCATTGGTATTCATGCTTCAAACAAACAGTAGATGGGGCTATACGAGTTTGATTTTTAATTTTGTCAGCTCCGTCACAGTCAACTCCGTCACATTTTACCGTGACGGATATCATCAATCATCAATTCGACATTTATTTTCACATTGACATCCTCGGTAACAATTCAGACAGAAAACAGTATATATATATGTATAAACAAAACATTCTTCACAGAAAGTATGTAATTAAGTGTAAATATTAAATGATGTCAACATAAAGGAAAAAGGTGAAGCACTGCTTTTGCACCTTTCCCTGGGACAGGACAAAACTTAAACAACTACACACGGACTAAGACAGGACAATAGGTTTAAGAGTGAGACCCGGTACAATGTGTAAAATAATGACTAAGCAAAGCAGAAAAAAAAAATGTTTTTTAAGTTAAAGTATAAGTGTTGATGATCAATTTTTTCAATTTGTTAGCAAATGAAACCACAGTAGTACACTCTTTTAAACCAATGTTGAGTTCATTCCAGTATATGACACCACGTTGAAATGGACTGTTTCTAAAAAAGGAAGTTCTATTTATTCTCACAAAAAGATCACCTTTCGATGAACTACGTGTTTCATATGAATGAACAGAAGAAGTAAATGAGAATAGATGATTAAAAATTGGAGGGAGCATGTTGTGAGTATATTTAAACATAAGTATACCCAGTCGGTGGTGGTAGAGATCATTCAGTTTCAGAATATTAAGTTTGGCAAATAAAGGAGTGGTATGATCAAGGTAACCTGCATTATTTACAATACGAACAGCTTTGTTCTGCAACTTAAAAAGTTTGTTGGAGCCATGTACGGTTGAAGATCCCCAAAAAGAAAGTAGGCCATAATTAATTCAAGTATGAAAGAATAAAGGAATTATATAATGTTAAAAGAATATTTTTAGGTACAAAATTCTTCAGACGATTCATAACCCCAACATTTTTAGAAATTTTACTACATAAAACATCAATGTGGCGATTCCAAGTGAGATTTTCGTCTATACAAAGTCCAAGAAATTTAGTAGTCTTGACTTGATTGAGTACAGTACCATCAAAGCTAAGAGAAACTGTGGCCCGGTATTTATGTTGGCGTGGACAAAAAATAATGTAATTAGTCTTCAGCAAATTAATTGATAATTTGTTCGAAATCAGCCATCTACTTATTTTAACAAGTTCAACATTAACAGTTTGGATGGCTGTATCCACATTATGGTGATTGTAAATTAAATTAGTATCATCTGCAAATAAACAGAAAGACATGACATCAGAAGATCTACAAATATCATTGATATAAATAATAAATAGTAATGGACCTAACACACTTCCTTGAGGGACTCCACAAGTGATGGACTGTTCTAAAGAGTGATGTAAATTGTAAGAAACAAACTGCCTTCTATTTGATACATAACTTCTGAACCAGTCCAAGGCCAACCCTCGGACACCAAAATGCTCCAATTTATTTAAAAGGATATCATGGTTAACAGTGTCGAAGGCCTTGGACAGGTCCAGGAAAATACCAACAGAAAGCTGCTTGTTCTCAAAGGCATCGATGATTTTACTTAACACATCAAGTATAGCCAACTCTGTAGAGCGATTTGCTCTAAAGCCGTATTGAGATTGAGACAAGAGGCCATACTTATTAATAAATGCAATCATGCGACTGAACACAAGTTTTTCAAATTATTTGGAAAAAACAGGTAAAATAGAAATCGGTCTATAATTAGAGAACTCGCGTCTACTACCGCCTTTGTGTATGGGAACCACTTTACCAATTCGTCAGGAAAGACTCCCTTAGAAATTGACTGATTAAAGAGCAGAGCAAGTGGTATAGCTAAAGCATTCCTGGCCTTTTTAACAACAAAGGAACTCAAACCATCCCAGCCTGGGGCTTTACCATTAGGGAATTTGTTAATCACATTCACAATTTCTGCTTGCGTAACAGGATTCAAAAATATAGAATGAGAACACCTGTTTCCAAGAAAGGAAAGAAAAGAACGATCAGACAATGGAAGGTTGCTGGTTATCCTGTTTCCAATGTTTACAAAGTAATCGTTAAAATGGTTAGCAATACTATATGCATCATCAATATTTTCACCATTATGTACAAAATAAGATGGATTAGTGTTGGACTTAGATTTATTCAATAAAGAATTAATAAGTCTCCAGGTGCCTTTGATATTATTCCTTTCACTATTAAATTTGTGGTGCAAATAATTCTTCTTAGCACGTTTTATCAAACCAGTAAGGATATTTTTATACTGAGTGTACACATGCTTAGTATGATCTGTGGGGTTGTCAAGATATTTTCTGTACAGGTAGTTTTTCCTTCTAATACAATTATATATTCCTTCAGTTAACCAAGGTGACTTGTTCCTATTGAAGCGAGTATTAATTTCTTTCTCAGGAAAATGCTTGTTGTAAAAATGAAGAACATACTCTAGAAAATGTGAATAAAAATCATTGACACTGTCAAAATTGGTGATGAAATCCCAATTAATATCCAAAAGATCTTGAATAAAATGCTGAATATTAGTGTCGCTGGAATCATGTCTGGACGTACTCAAATTAGACGAGGTATTTCTGGAGTAATTATTTACAACTGCAAATACGGGAAGATGATCACTTATATCAGTAAGTAAAATACCAGTTTTGTGATCTGAAAACTCATTAGTAAAAATATTATCGAGGAGCGTAGCACTATCGGGAGTAATTCTAGTAGGTTTGTTGATAAGCGGGAAAAAAGAATTGGATGACAATGTATCAATAAAATCTTTAACACTACTACTTGTATCATGAAGCAATAAATTAATGTTAAAATCACCCATAATGTACACCCGTTTCTTGTCGCTTTGTACTCGGGCTAGTGTATCATTAAAGGAATCAGAAAAATTAGAACAACAAACATCTGGGGGTTTATACAAAATTCCGACTATGATATTACCTCATGTAGAATTTTCAATTTCAATAAAACAAGACTCAAAGTCTTCAGTATTAGGACAAATATCTTGGCGTGTCTTATAGGTGAGATCATTTTTTATGTAAAATGCCACGCCTCCTCCCCTTTTGTGTTGTCTACAAAAACCTTCCATGGCATAACCATTGAGTTTAACCAAGGGATCATCAATATCTTTCAACCATGTTTCAGAAACACCAATAATAGAAAAATCATCACCCAGGATATTAAGATACTGCTGAATATCAGAGATGCTGCTGGCCAAGCTACGAGCATTAATATGCAGACATTTAAAATAATCTGCTCCAGAAAAATTATCCAAGAACTGGTCTTGATCATAGTACTCACAAGCAATATCAGGAACATCTAAGTTAATATCAGGATCTAAGTTAGGATCAACTACTGGTGTATTATCAACCATCAATGAAACCATTTAACAAGGTTGGTATAAAAATGAATTTGATAAACATGTATATCCGGGTCTCACTGCTACACAAACACATAACAATAACAAGACGCAACATGTACACACAACGATAAGACACAACAATGGGTAGATGACTAAGTAGGGACGTGACTAATTGTGAAATAACTTGTCATTACAAAGAAGAGCATTCGCAAAATGATTTGTAGAGGCAATACCTAAAAAGCAAGATATTTCAAAACACGCAGAGGCT